TAACTGATAAGCCCTCTATAAAATAATCGAACAAATCTAAAAACAAAATGGTAAATTTATGGCCTCTAACTGAAACTTTTTTTGGGAGGGACTTTCTGCTTATATGATTATTAGAGATTTCCTGCTTAGCATCCACTGCTAATGTGAGAGTAGCAATTCACAAAGAAACTCGTACCAGTCTAAACAAAGCCATTCCAAAGGTTCCATAAGTATGAATTTAAGAGCTGATAAGGAAGCAATCTTGGAGAGCTCCAAATCAGTATTTATGTCAGATGTGGCATCAATACTTCATTCCCTTAAGTCCTAATGTAAATCCGGAATGCACACTCTTGCAGAAAAAATTAATTAACTACAACTTCAGTACAAAAGAGTAGTACTCCATTGGATAGTCTAATCAGACTCTCCCGGAGTGCATCTCTGCAAATAAATCTACTGTATGCCAAAGGAAGAACGATGCTACCCTGATGATGGCTACAATAAAATTTAAAAAAAAAAAGAGCAACTTGTGCTCTTTAGCCTCACGACAGGTCATAAAAAGATAAGAACAAACCTTTATAAAAAATTTAACAACAGGGAAAGCTCTCTCTACAGATGAAAATTGGGAACCAAAACAAGAGCATCCTTCGGACATGCCCTTAACTGGAGGACACCAGAAAGCAGACATGGCCAAACCCGGGCGGGATGGCCGAATGGGCTAAAGCGTGTGCACTGCACCGCCATTGCCCAGCAACCTGACATATGAATCAAAGATATAAAGATAGTATTTTTTTCCCACAGATTTGGTCACGAAGATCTAGGATGGTCTGGAGATTTCAGGAAGACCATCTAGCTCATACTTTTAATCCGAGACCTGACCATTTGAAGGAAGATTGAAGAAAAAGAAGAATCAATTAAAATATTTTTGAAATACAAATAAAACAATGAATTATTGCTGAAATCCAAAAGGATTGATTAATGTCAAAAACAATTTAAACACTATAAAATAATTTCCATAAAAAATACAAAAAAATAAAATTTTCCAAATATAAAAACATAGAATTTTAATTTAAAAAAAAACTCACCAGACGGCGTTGTGCCTCTTCGATCTTCCTGTTGTTCTCAGCCATAATCTGTTCAAGGGCCTCTCGTTTCTTTGTTTCTTCTTCCTATTCAAAACACATAAAAATATGTCGCTTAGAACAACATCTGAGCACAATCTCACGAGTGCACTTGGGGATACATTTCGTACCGCCTAATAAAGAACTCCATGGTTCTAGTTTATCATATAAATATCTACATGTATACACACATAGAAAGCATTGGTTGTATTTATTTCATCATTGATTTAAGTAATACATGCATAATAAGTTTTCCAAACAAAATTTAATAATGGATTATAAATGGAAATAAAAAAAACAAAAAAACAAAACACCCAGATAAGTAAATTAAGTAGCATTAATACTTCAGAAAAGAAAAAGGGGAATAAGAAATTAACTGAAAGTCATTTAATATTGAGAAAAAAATTATACATCAGAAGAAAGTAAAACTTTTAAATAAAAAATTTAAAAACCGGTATTAGAAAAAAAATCAATAAAAATGAATCTAAATTATTGATATCCACTTTATACTGATATTAAAATAGAAAATAAAAATAAGTCTTACCCAACACAAAAACACTAGGAATAATACAAATTAACAATACAAACCCTCATAAAACATTGTAAAAGAACTTCAAAAACCTTTATTTTTTTTTTCCTATGCCTGTTGTTAAATCCTTCTCAACTTAGTTGAAGCCTCCTAAGTTTGAACATCACCTATTACTATAGATCAAATTTGTAAAATCATTTTGTGTCTGTTGTCGGGTGTTGTTTTGAAGTTTTGTATACTTACCAACGAAGTCTCATATACATCTACTCAATATCCTTTGAGTGAACCTGGGCAAATGGTCTGTAGTAGATGGCATCCTGGAAACCAGTAGTTAGGAAAAAAACGAACACACATGAAACACAATGATAAGAAAAATTTTTTGTTGTTAAGTTGATTGAGTATTAGATACTTTAACAGCAAAATTTAAAAACAATAATTTATTTATTCCGTTTTTGCCCCTAACTTCCTCCCTTTGTTCCATGGGTTTGTCAAAATCTGAACAAAAAATCAGTTGAAACAGCCACTGTAATTAATGTAGTGATAGTGAACTTGAAAGTAATATATAATTCAGTATTTCAAAGCCTTTTTTTTTTAATAATGAAATATGAAATTTTTTTTTTTTTCAATAATGACAAAACGAAAGGAATAGTATTTAAAAAGACTTATAGATCAAAAACTAAAATATATAGGCTAAGGACTAATTCATTAATTTAGTTACTATATATTCTGTTATTAATATTAGAATACATAAAATTAATAATACCAACTCAGTATATGTAAGAAGCCAAATAGCACAATATTACAACGCATCACCTTTGATTTTCAGAAAGCCTACGACCGTACTATAAGGAAAGAGATAAATCAAAATCTGCTAGTGTCGGAACTTCCTAAAAGTTGGTTCGTTTGATAATGATGACCATGAAGAAGGTGGAGTGCACTGTTCAAATAGGATGAAGACTTTATAAGCATTTTAAAACGTACAAGGGTCTTAGGCAGGGTGACAGCCTTGCCTGTTTATTGTTTAACATGGCACAAGAATGTGCTGTAAGAAGCTCTGGTGTACAAATTGGAGCCACCTACCTTATTTAACGAATCGGCCAAATCCTTGGCTTCATAGATGACTTGGATATAATGGGAAGATGCTTGACATCTATGAAGGAGGCATTTCTCACTTTACAGAAAGCTACACAAAGAGTGGGTCTAACAATAAATGAATCAAAAACCAAATATATGAAAACAGCAAGCATTAGCTCAGCAAGACGCCCATGAGAAAATCGGAGACTTCACGTTTGAGTGTGTTAACAAATTTATTTATTTAGCCTCTCAAGTGAAATCACAATAATATGCAGCAAAACATTAATAGATGGTTAATGGCTGCAAACAGATCTCTCAAGGAAACACCAAGGTGCAGCTTTGTAAGACCCTCATAAGGCCTGTTCTGACCTATGCTTCCAAATATTGGACGATCTCTCGAGCTCAAGAACTAATGTTCCTAAGATTTGAAAGGCGGACCCTTAGAAAAATATTTGGGCCAGTGTTCAGCGATAACGTTTGGCAATAAAGAACTAATTCTGAAACAGAAAGAATGTGTAATAATACAAATGTCGTCAGATTCATAAGAATTGGAAGGCTTCGTTGGGAAGGCCATGTTGCTCAAATTAAGAATGATGAAGTCCCAAAGAAACTTTTGGAAGAAAGGATATACAGCAAGAGGAGAATTGGAAGGCCGAGACTGCGGTGGGCCGAAAGAGTGGCAGAGGATACATGGTCCATCTTAGGAGTAAGAAACTGGAGGGCAGTGGCAACGAACTGAGAAGACTGGCGGTTGATGTTGCGAAAGATCTTGACCCACCATTGAGTTATAGTGGCGGAAGAAGAAGAACTCAGTATATGGTTTATGTTTTAAATTCAAAGATCTTCAATATCTTGGTTCAATAAAAAACAAAACTTATTGTTCTTTCAACAAGTACTTAGATTAAAGTATTCAACCTTCAAATAATGGACAAATAATCATTTGACATACTTTATGACAATCAGAGCACTATTCCATTATCAAAAAATGCTATTATAAATTCAGATTCGAAGCTTATTGATACAACCTACTTAATTTAAAGTTACATTGAAAAAGAAACAATCAAAGTTAAATATTTGCCAACAGTGGAAATATTATGCGCCATTTTGTTTAATACTTTGGAAAAAGTCAAACATGATTATTGTGTAAATAATATTTATTTAATTAATGCCGTTAAAAAAATAAAAACTAGTCTATTTTAGGCACTTATACACTAAGGATTTAATTGTTCTTCACTTTTACAAATTTGCTGTAGGAAGTTAGTCGACTGATCTACATCATATGTGATTAATAGGCAGGACGCAGTCATTTTAAGATTTTTATTGTTGTGCGACGTTTCAACCCAAGCATGTGGGTCATTATCAGAGCATGCTTCCAGTACTGAAGGTGTTCAAGTTAATTAAAGTACTTGAACGTCTTCAGTACTGGAAGCACATGCCCTTACAAATTTGAAGTTTTTTCAATTGACTACAGATTTGAATAAGTTGCGTAAATTAAATATATTATTGTTGAAATAGCACATCTGTGCAGTGTTGTCTGAATCCCAAATGTAGTCAAGTTGGTGAGAACCATTACATTCAGTAAACCTTCCTACTGTGAAAATAATGAAGCCTGACTTATTTACACCATGTTCCTATTATATTTATATACTTAATTTATTTTAATTAGTTTTATTGAATAGTTAACTTTAGATTAACTATATTTTTTTTTCTCATAAGTTTAGCATGGTTTACTACTCCCAATTAATGATATCAAAGTTAGAAGTTTCATCAAAAACAGTGTAGTAAACAGAGGGACTACTACCAAATTAGGAATTACAAAAATACACCATTTTTAAATGCCTAATATTGAATAATACTAGGTAAATTAAGTGAATTACAAGGATGATTTGTTTAATGACAACATAACATCTTTTATTTTACGGAGTTAAAGAGGTGGAATTCTAGGCACATAACTATTAGTTCTAAATCAATTATCTAGTTTAAAGGTTAATAGTTAAAGCATTTAGTTGTGAATAGCTTACAAATAATTTATATTTATAAACACTACGATTAAAATAATCGTGATAATTAGTACTCAATTTTTAACAACTTTATTTTATGTTCAGATTTTAACTTAATCACTAGGTTGTATAGCAGTCATCAACAATTTTGAAAAATATAGAACAATAAACATCATACAACCTATGAAAAATTAAAACTACTTAAATTTAAAAATTCCTTATAAATTACTGAAAAAAATATTACTTTTTTAAAATAAAGATAATTAAAATATATATTAAAAAAAACAGAGATTTTCACTGCATCAAATATGTGAACCAGCCTTATCATTTAATTGAAAATATTAAGTTATAACATCAATAGTTGATGGACTTACTATATAATTCATCAGATGTTGTCTAAGTAAGAAAGGGTAAGATGATTGGTGGATCATACGCAGAAAATGAAGAACAGAATCCTCAAGATTATGGAGGATATCCAGGAGGAAACAGAAAAAGAAAGACTAAATATTTCATCTGATTTTGATAGCAATACCTTATTTTATTACCTTATGAATTTTCATACAAGGTTTTATAAAGGCTTTTAGGAGAAAATGTTAAAAAATCCTGAAAACAGAAAAACAAATGTATTTTTGGTGATCATACTAATAACACATAAATACGAATAAATCTTATTCCATATAATTATGAAGATTTTTCTATGTTTGAACCCAGCCCGGCCCAACTAATTCAAGCTTAGAATGAGAAAAAGAATTAATAAGTACGAAGGGTTTCAGAAAAAAATTGGACAATAGATTCAAAAAATTAAATTAAAATAAATCTTTTATTAATGCCAGATGTCAGTTGAATATTAATATAATGTTTCTTTAGCTTATGATAAGACTGGTACACAGATGAATAGCTCTTGGGTCCGTAGAACTGAAAAAAAGATTGTGATAAGTGAAAATATTGAGGATAAAGCAATTTTTGACATTACCTCTCTCCTTTTTTCTTGGGCAATGAGCTCCTGCCTCCTGGCCTCCATTTCAGCCCTTAGTTCAGCCTCCATTGCGGCCTTTGCTTCCTCCACCCTTCGAGCAACTTCAGCCTCAATTTCCTCTCTCCTCGCTTCTAGTTCCTCCTCAACACGTTTCTTGACTAATGCCTCGATTCTCTTAGCTGCTTCCTCTTCCACTAGTTTGTTCTCCGATTCCCTCTGCCGCCTTCAACCAAATTTTAGCCAAGTAACAAATGATCTCAATTTGTAACATTAAAGTCAATTGGTGGAAAGTACAGATATGAAATGTACAACTGCTAATGTTACTGATCAGAATAAATAAAAACAGAGTAGAATAATGATGATGAGAAAGATGATATGGTGAAATATAATTTTCTGTATACATAACATGTAGTGGATGAAAAAAAAAATAAGGGTTTTAATGTAGCCTTATTTTTTCATACATATGGTCTGGAATAATGCTGAATAAAAATAAAAACAAAATAAAATAATTTTTAACTGTTGATAAATTTGTTTTTCAAAACTAATGTAGATAGGATACAAATGTTACACAACATATTACAGACGAAAATAATAAAAAAATTATCTCTTTTAAATTGATTTTATGATGTTTGTAATAAGTTAAATATATAACATAAAATGTAAACATAGTATGTAAAAAGGCTTCTTCAACCACACAAATATACAATGAACTACAAACCTCTTCTTTTACTTTTATAACCTGCATTACAAATCAAATAAAATTATTCTTTTTTGTTTTTGGAGTATCTCACAATATTGATTAACAGTAATGATGTATAAGCTAATCATGATCAACAGATTTATTAAAGACAAATTTAAAAAAATGGAAACTGAAATTAGAGAATGACGTGATACAGAAAGACCCGATAAAAACAGAATATATTAATCGTTTATCAAATCCTAATAAAATTTACAGATGCCTAAAACTATCAAGGGAGATTCAATTAATAAAAATCAAAACACATCTGATTAGAGCTAAGCTAAAAATACAACAATACTGTCACTTAAACACAAAAAACTGTAACAACTTTACTAGTTCATATTAACGATGTTTCATATAATGTATAATAATGAAGCAAATAATTAAATGTTAATTTTATTTGTTTATTTTATACACAAATGAGCCTTAAGATTTGGCACAAAATCCTGTTTAGTGAGCAAATGTCTAATTCATTCAAATGTAAATGAAATATACATTTCTTAAGATCCTTTGTTCATATTTATAAGATTTCAAAGCCATTCATTATATAACTAATTCCTAAATTTTCCAAGCAGAAGCAAAAGTTAAACTAAGAAAATTGGAAGTTTTGAGAGCTGTTATTTTAGTATCAGCAATGATATCAGATCTACATTAACAGAGTTGTCATTAACAATATATCATAACAACCGATAATAAGGACAAAAAAAAAGTTTACTTTCTACAGTAAGAATAATGATATATTATCACAAACATCAATTAAGTTTCATGACCATAATCAAGAAAAATAAAATTAATAAAGAAACATCTTCAGAAGTTAGTAAACAATGTTTATATAGTTAACTCTCAAAATTTCAAGAATGAAAATAAAGTAAAAAGCACAAATTTATAAATACCACAAAATATTCAAAAGGGGGGAGGGAGATAGGATGGAACTGGCTAAGTGTGCCAATTAGAGAACATGCACTTAAAAATAATTTTTAATTTAAAATTATAAAAATAACACAATTTCATAAAAAGTAAAAATAATATAAAAATGTTTAGTAACAGCAAGTAGGTAATCTAATATTTTACACAAATTTTCTATAAATGGTTTTCCTGCCAATTCTGCAAAAGTTGATTTCTTATACTTAAAAAAACTATTTACCATTTAATGCATAATTCTATACAAACACAACCAGTTAATTTTAGAATAATGAAAACATTGCCTAACACTACAGTTGAATCTCAACATATCAAACTTAAAAGTTTAAAAAACTCAAGCATTTTCTGTTTTTAGTTTTCTCTATAGAGTTATTCACTGACTATTGCAATGTCGATAATATATATACAACCAAAATTCTTCAGTTCAAATCTTCTAACCTAATACAGCCTTGCTTGATCTTGCTAACCGATTCTGTAGACTCTGACATTTACCATGCCACGCCATTAAACAGATTAATCCTCATTACATTTCATCCTCCTATTCCCAGTTTTACTTTCAAGAAAACCTCAGCTCTTCAACATACTACTATGAAGATTGTATATAATCTCCTTCCATCATGTCTTCCAAAAGAACATAATTTTTTTATATGAATATATATTTTGTTGGTAAAAATTATTTTTTTCTAAAGCTTTGATTCTCACACTGTGAACTAAATTTGTAATTAAAAAGGAGGAAGATTTGTAATAATAAATTATTAACTTATTTGTTGCAGTTAAGTTATTAGTCTGAAGGAATTTTCATGAATAAAAAAAATTAACGATAAAACATTTATGCATAATTTCAATTAATGTACAGTTTTACTTTATGAACTGTAAAGTCACATATTAGATTATAAATTTTTTATATACATAATTTATCCAAATAAAAAAATTATTATAGAATAGAATTTTTATCATTTTGAGCTAGCTGTTTAGTCAGTGGTACTGACCCCTTTTTATCAAATTATTACATTCACCAAAAACTTCGTGAATAGCTTTATCTTATCTTAACATACAATCTTTTTATCTATGAAAATTCTTAGAAATGGAGTGTTTTCTCATTAACTTATTTAATTTAATGAGGTACTAAAAACCCATTTGTTTTCCACTTGAATTGTATGATTTGATTACAAAATAAAAAAATAAAAGTGGCCTACAAAAATATTATGCCATTTGGGCTCTATAGCCTCGCTATTTCGACATGTTGGGATGGAGGTCACACCAAACTGCTCAATATTCTTGTATTCTAGGTTTTTTCTCTATTTTGTGATCACATTATCTTAAGATTCAAGTGGAAAACAAATGGATGTTCATGGTTTTTTAGTATCTTATTAAAGAGAGAAAGTTTGTTCCTCCAAATTAAAAACAACCCAATTCTGAGAATTTTTGTAAATAAAAAAGTTGTAGGTTACGATGAGATGAAGCTGTTCACAAAGCTTTAGATGGATGTTAATAATTTGCCATAGTATTTCAACATAGATTCTACGAACTGTACAAACAAATAATAATCAGAAGTTAGTTTTGATTTTTATTATTTCTGACCTGTGATGCATAAAACTAAATGTACCTAAATGACTTTAATAATTTGCTAAAAAGGGGTCTGTATGACAGACTATGTTAGCTTTCAATGTTGTTTAACATAAACTTTTTTTATTGTTTTTGTCATTTTTAAAATTAAAAGATAAACTTAAACTCTGGGATTCTAAACCCAACCTGCTTGGTTATCAGCTCCTCTACATAAATCTACATATTCCAAGCAGAATAACTGTTCATAAATTAACTGCTTAATGTGTTCAATAAATAAAACTTGGACGTTAAATCAAATAATAGGTGAAAAGGGACACGTTTAAAAGGAAAGTGTTGCTAAAAATGTTTGGTGGAGTTTCTGAAGGAAGGATTAGGTGAATCAGAATAAATCAAAAAACATATTGGAATTAGGACATTTGCACATGTGAAGCAATAAATATGAATAAGCTCAGATAGAACAAATCTGGTGAGTTAAAATGGACAAAAGAAGAAAGAATATGAGAAAAAAATCATAATTAGAGCAAAGGTATAATAACCAAGGACACAATTGAAGGTATTTGGCGGGTTGGTATAACAATACAAGAGGGCAGAGTCCAGTTAGGGGAGTTTTCAAAGCAGGTCTACAGGCACAAGTAAAAACATTTCAAGTTCCTGGCAAAATATTTTTGAATGAAGATTTTGTATTTATGAAAGTTTAATATATAGAGGTTCAACTGTATCTATTATTGGAAAAAATAGTAGTTCAAACTAATTATATAAAAATCAGGTTTTATTTTTATAAAGCCTTAACAAAATCTCATAATGGCATCATGAATACTATTTTAATTACAGCCAGTGCCAGGCCAAAGATTGGGTCAACTGGGGCAATTTTCCCAGAGCACCGCCTATCAAGGGCACCTGTCGGGAGCACCGATTATCAGGGACACTCACCACTTATTAGAAATTTAAAAAAAAAATACAAAAAGTACTGAGATAAATAATGTTACCTATTAATAAAGCAACTGTATTAGAGAAATATTGAATGAAAGAAATATTTTAAATACTGCATAACATAAAACAGCTTAAGAAATAAATTTATTTTTTTTAGGGAAGAGGGAGATGATGTCCTTGTCTGGGGGGCACTGAATATCTGAGGCCGGCACTGATTATAACCAATTAACTTTTTTTGGTGCATAAAATTAACATGAGAAATTTTATGTTAACTTGGATTTTTTAAATAATAATCTTTCCATGCTGAATCCAATATTGAAAATATCACCTGGAAAAAATCAATATTTTATGACAATAGAAAACAAAAAATTAACACCACTTAATAAATCACATGCATAATTGCCAGACAGCAAAAATTCACCATGCATATTATATAACTTTAATTAATGCATTTTAGCTTGCAAAAGCTATGGACATTAAAAATAGAATAAATGCACCAACCCCCAAAAACAAGCTAGCCACATACACATGTAAAATAAATAGGTATTTAATAAGGAAAAAAAAAATTCAAACTTGATAAAACTGATAACATAATGTTTTGCAGAAAAATTTCAAAAAGGAAGTAAAATTAATGGACAATGCAATCATTTACATTATGAATATTTAATATCATGGACAAAGATATCATAATTATCTCAATATGAATAACATCTAGTCAAATTATATATTTACCACCATCAGTTACATAATTATTAATTCATATATATTTACTAAGAGACTTTCACATTATGTTATCCTTTGCCTTTGTAATTTATAAAATAAATATCTTATATATTATGTTATACTTTAATACTTTAAAATTAATAAAATAAAATATTAAAAGCTTCAGTAAAATTAGTACAATGAATGATGAAAACAGTGTAAGTAATATAGTATTGATGAGAAATATAAAAAGATCAGAACCTCAAGTCAAAAAGGTAAAGAAAAAAGTTTAATAGTTATCAATATAAAACGGTACACCCACCACCACTCCAAATTAAATTAGGCCAGAAACAAAAATGGCAACAAATAATAATACTCAAATGCATTAAATTTAAAATAGCTCTCATTAATATCTGGTTTTATTAACCACTGGGAAAAAGTTAAATAATAAGTACTTGTTGAAACATCAGAATACTTATGAAGAATGAACAATGGTCAAAACGGAAACCAATTAATCAGAAAAAAATGTTAACATATAAACTTCTAATAAGTTCTATTGAAAATTAAATTTCTCACTGCTGCATAATTGGATCAATCCAATTAATTATGAAACAGTGAGAAACAAATTAAACTAATTGGCTTGAAGATGGCATAACATCCAAAACGTCATGAAAACAGAAATTGTGGAATGAATAATGAATAATAATGAATAAATATATGGTAAAAAAATAACAGCCAATATTATTTCAATACCTAAATAATAATCTTCACCTTAACCTTAATAAAATTATAAATGCAATAATTTAGTTATAAATCTTTTTTGCAAGAATGATGACATAAGGTTTAATATTTTGAAACATATTATTGACAGGCTTTTTTATAAACAGATTGAATTTAATAAACATATTACAACAGAAATAATGAGTTAAAATTCATACTTATGGGTAAAGTCATCTTAGAAAAAGAAAATGAGTTTCAGAAATAAAATTGATTTTCCTAGCTAAATCTCAAAATACCACATGAAAAATAGAAAAGTCCATTGAGAAGTGCGACAAGATTAGATATTTATATCACATATAGTGAGTGATTGCTGAGGCATGAAATTCTTTTTTAACATTAAAAGTGTTAACCAAAATCAAAAGCATATTTATTATAACACAAAATATTATGTTGCATATTTAGAAATCACTAGCATAATCTTTAAATATGAGAAAAATTAATCTCTTATATAAGAATACAATTCTTATCATAATATGTTAATTAATAAATAAATCATGAAACAAGCATAGTGGATAACAAAGGCAAAGCATCTAAACCAAAGAAAAATAATGTCACGAGAAAAATCATGAAGCATGCATTATATATCTGTATAAACTACGATCTACACTGAATTAATTAATTCATGGCCATAAACGTTTACTCTCTAATTCGGAAAACATTTATAAAGTTAATAGAGAAGCAGAAATATATTAAACTTTTCTCTCATTTTTTAATTTTTTTTTTAAAGATGTTTAAAACTTTTAAAGAAAAAGTAATTGAAAAATAGAAAAATAAACATTTAAAAGTAAATACCTTTGTTTCTCCAAGTCAGCAAGTCTTAGAACATTTTCCATTTTCCTATTTTAGGGAATTTAAAATGTATAGTTGAATACAAAACAAATTATTCAAATGACATTGCAAATCAAATAATAAAATGTGAACATACATTAAAATTTACTAAGAAATTACAACTAAATAAATCTGAAAAATAAAATAACAAAATAGAACTTATCAAAATAAAGAATAAACCAGAATAATGTTGTAACAGAAGATGAACCATTTTCAGATATAATTAAATAAAATATTGAATTCAATTACTTTGTATCTGTTTTCGCTCTTTATAATTGGAAAGAAAGAAGTGAAAAATGGGAAATAAGAATAAATAGGAATCTGAACAATATGCAGGATAATATGAATAAAAAAAATGAAGCATTGAAAATAACTTACACACTCAATAAAAATAAATAAAAAAAGACTCATTTTAAGACATATATTCCGCAGGCAGAGAAAATATACTCTGTATTTTAATTTAAAAGCATTTTTTCATACATCTTTTATTCATCAAATGAAATTTTTAAAAAAAATTAAAATACAGAAAATATTTTTTAAATTAGAAAGCTATAAATGTAATATATTAAGCCTATTTAATAAGATTTATGTTTATTTCAGTCAACTAGTCCCTTAAATATATATGTAGAAAGGGTTCTACAGACCATTAAATCAGAGTCAGAGATTGATGAAATGATGCATTTAATAGACCAGGGAAGATTGCAACCACTGCTGGTAGCAAGGTTCAGAATTTGTAACTTACAATAGACAATACATAGCAAAACAAATCTACCAGCAAAATACACCTTTAAAATCAGTTCTCAAGGAAATAAAAAAATTAAATTTATTTTAGCCCTGAAAATTTAATCGAATTTTAGGAAAAATCGTAATCTATTGGATTAATGCAAATCTAAGACACAAAACATATTTTGTTCAGTGTTTTACTTATTTTATATTACCTTCAAATCAAGCAAATTTATACTTTATTATTATCATCAGAGAAAATCAGAAACAAAGAGAAAATTTTTCTTCCAAACAGTACCAAAAAATTTCAAATTGGTCAAAATATTCAGCCATAAAATAAAGGTTTCACAATCTTGGAAAATGTATAAACTAATTCACTCATATGAAAAAATTTTCATTTTTTTTTTTTTTTTTCCTCTTTTGTTGAAGGTTTGTATATTAGGATTTTTGATGGGGTGCTAAATACAACTATGAAGTTAATTTTTCACAAATATTTTAACCTTATTTATATAATTTATGAGTAATTTTAATTTAAAAAATATACTGTTTGGCTAGGTGTCTGAATTTAAGTAAAACTGATGGCCTCTACAATAAAACTTTTCCTCGAGGTGCCCCACATTTTTTACCAGCTGTCTTGATTCACCCCTGTTTCATAATGCAATAATATACTTACCCCTCTAAACTTTGACATCAACATAAATCCAATGGATAATTTGGAGGATATTATAGATAGACTCATTCAATATTTTTGAGAGAATCATTTTTGAGTCTCAAAAAGAGTTTGTTTTAAACTTCATCTTCAGTATAATTGTGTAATGGAAGAATATATCTCTTAACAATGAGTGTTCATATATGTTTTCTTTTTTAAATAAGCACATATATAAAATAAATGAGGAAATATTTTTAAAGATTAATGGAAATGAAATTTGTTTGAAACAAATTCTCAAGAGTAAGAAATATGATTAGAGCTGGTTTAGTAAAATAATTATTAAAATCTATAACATCTAAAGCTGATGCTAGGATCATCAAATCACTTCCCCTTATATATTATTAAATGAAGTTACATAAATAACCTAAATGGTAGGAAAACCATTGAACAAAAATATTTTTATAAGAAATATTACTGAAAATTATTGTACAGGGATAGACTGATTCATAGATCTATTTTTCTGAAGGTAAAATATGGTAGCCACAAATAAATGAAATTAGGAAAAAAAGCAATCCAGTTAGAGAGTAGCATTAAGCAATAGATTCAAATTTTAGAGTAATTCTTAGAACCATAATTTAATGGCCTTTAGCATTCACAGTTGAACTTAGTTTTTTACACGCACACACACACACATTGTGCCTGAGTATATATGTGTGTTTGGCTTTAGATTTGTGGATCCTTACATCAGGTAAGGTTATTGTTACCTTTAATCTAGTCTTTCAATAATGTTTGTAACTACTTTATTATCAAAAAATAGAAAAAATATGAATAAATAACTATTTACACAACCTAAATATATCCCTAAATATCATGCCATGTTATAGAGACTAGGTTAACATGCTCTGCTTCTGCGGTTCATAAACAATGCAATCAGTAACAAGAATTTAGTTAAAGAAAAAATTCTTAAGATTTTTTATAAATTAAGTTCAATATTCTAAAAACAACAGATTTTTCAAGATATGAAAAAACATGGCCATTCATTTAATTTTATTTGCAAGCCATGTAAAGGACTTAAGAATAATACGAGGTGGTCAATGATCAATATTTTAGTAAGAAAAAAAGGAGTCAGTCCCAGTAGACAAAAAGTAACAAACTGTCTCATTAATGAATAACTTAAACAAAATATAGCAATACAAATCATTATAGACTAGTTCCAGATATGTACTACAATTTTAATGAAATCATGTTGAGCTGAATTGAAAAGAAGCGAAAATACCACCAATGCAATCTTCGAAAATTAATTACAGAATTTTTTTTTTTTAAATGCAGTATTACATATTACCAATTATTATATTGACTAATTCATAAAAAAAATCTGGTGCGAGCAACAAACAACTTTCACTTACCGCTCTACATTGAATAGAAATTATTTTCTGGCAATATTGGGCTATTTTAAAATTTGTTAAGTACATTTTTAAACAAGCTCAAGCTTAAATCTTACAGGTAACAAATCATTAGTACTATTAATATAACAAAAATCCTATTTATTATATCAACAGTTGACTATGGGTTGTACAATCCGTTGATTATGGATTGTATGATTAATTAGTAAAAGCAAACTTTTATTTTCCATTGCAAAGTTTACTAAAATGGAATTACGAGATTTGCATTGCCTGTCATCGATAGGTCAAAAGTTGTCAAACTAATTGTAAGTAGATACTGTTGGAATATCATAAAGCGAAAGTTCATCAAATTATTCAATAATTTAATTTTCTAAAAAGTTACATGATTCTTTGGAATAAACAGACGAAGGTACCTAATTATTTAAATAGAATATCAGATCTAGAGTTGTTAAACTACAGTAAATGTATTTAAGGTTATATAAACATATCCAGGAAATATTTGTGTCACTTCTTTCACAAGTACAACAAAATATTATTTTAAACAATATCATTGCCTGGATGCGGTGGATTTTAAATACTTTTTTCAAAATTTAAAAGTTTACATTTAGTAAGAAAATTGCATTTAATTTGTTTGAAAACGTGATTAACATTAAACAATGTTAGTTTTCAGAAATTATTATTTATATTTTTCATCACTCTCTACACCTTCTACAACTTTGTTAGTTAGATATTATTTTTTTCTGAAATTCTCCACTTTCCAACGATATATTATCTATATATTATATATTAACGACATATTATATATTATCTGACTATTATTTCTCCTTTATTCAATTATCAAACTCTTTCAAAAGTCATATTTAGCCATTTTTCATAACTCCTAACAATGAGAGATAGCTAATTATTTAAAATAAACAAAATTAAAGGTACTTTAGTGGAAGACAATTTGAATATCTGGTGGCATTTAAGCCACGTTAAGCAACATCAATATGGATAAAACCTAAACAATATAAAAGATTTCTTAATTATACATTGATACACCAAGTTCAATCAAAATCGTTTTTTGAGAGCCGTTTTTGAGAAAATTTTAAAAATGTGTAGATCGATGATGAAGGTTCCACTCCAGTTTGCCGATTTCGACGAAAAAGTTGCTGTAAGTGCAAGTATATACAAATCTTAAATACATTATTTCAGTAACGTAAGACTTTTCGTTTTTGAGCTAGACTGTTCACATACACACACACACACACAGACCATTTTGTGAAACTTAGTTATTTGGAATCAGAGAACCTCAAAAAGTGTAATTCCATCAAAATCTCGGATTCAAAAATTTTCATGATCGCAATACTTTCCCATACTATATAATTTATGTATAGGTAAGTGAAAATAGAAATGCACATCCATTAAATAATCTATTTAGAATAATGAATGAACAATATCAAATGATTTAATATCAAAGAATAGCAACATTTTATAAGAAAGATCGATTTTTTGCCTTTGATGTTATTGAGGAAGTTCATTAAAAACTTAGGAAAAAAAGGATAAATCCAGGATAAATATAAAGTTGTGATTAGCCAATCAATTAAATCTCAATAAATCCACAAAGAAACTTTTTATGTAGTACACTATATCCTTGGACCCGTGTCCAAGGATCCTTCCCACCCTCCCTCCTCCCCAATGCACTCTATAACCCCCCAAAAAAAATTATAAAATTTAAATATATTTTTTAACATAATTATTTTCTGCCTTTGTTCTGCAGAGATTTCTAGGTTAAAATATATCAATTAATTTGTTTCTTTATGTGAAATAAGAAAAAAATATTGCTGATTTTAGTAAACAAATTTAAATGTAATAATAAATTACAAAAACCTAAAGACATTTTCAGTAAAGATACTCTCTTTTTTATTATTAAGCAATTTAGTCATTTCATGCTTTTAGGCTGGGGAGTATTCAAGATTTTTTTTCCGCGAGTGTTTAGAGATTTTAATTTAGCAACTTATCTTTTTTTGTTTATGTTTAAACAATTCATCGAACCACAGTTTGTTCATTTTATTTTCCTTTTTGTTAAAACACAACTTAGTGATCTCATTAATACTATCCCTGATCTCTACCCATAACTTGTCTATATAATCCTTGGAAAATATACTTCAGTATTACAATCTGAACTACTGGATATTTGCCATTGTGTCCAAAACCTACTTCATGATCAAATGACTGGTAAAAGAATAATAATCAATACAGATAGTTAAGCAGCAATAGGTGCTCTATCCTTATCCACAGGTTGTAAAATTATCACACAGCAGTGCAGCGCTTAGTAACCTTGCTGAGCATAACAAGATTGCCGCTAAGTGGGTGTCCGGACACTCTGATATCCCAGACAACGAAAAGGCTGTTAGTCTAGCCAGGTTAGGCTCAGACACTACTTCTGTAACTCCTGAATCTGGTATTATTGGAATATCTCCTAATATAATAAATATCTTGAAATCAGCCTGAGGACTTTTTATTTTGTTATCCTCCCCTTCCTTGTCGTTTAGACTATACTGTGTTTCCCAGGTAAGGATGTGAGGGGACTAATACCTGAGTTAACCTCCCTGAGTTTATTAACACTGCAAGCCTATTAAGATACGTGGAAGCGACTAAACTAACGTTTTGACTAATGGTACACAATACTCTTCTGGTCGCGGAGCATTATATAAAAAAAAAGTTGTCTATATCACCACAATCCTTTTCAGAAGATTCTTAAGTTTCAAACTTATTCCTAACTTCTAGCTTGATTGATGTTTAATTTTACCGGTTTTCTTTTCTATTTTTAGATTAAGTTTTTGTCGAATTTTTGCAATTAGTAATTCATGACTTAATTTCTATCATAGACAGTACATTAATTATACTACTTCGCCACCTAGGTTATATTAAGACTTGATCAATTTGATTTTGCATTTGCGAATCCGGTAATGTCCAAGTATATTTATGAATATTCTTATGTTTAAATTATATTTATGGATATTCTTATGTTTAAATGTAGTAGTTTTATAAGTATTTGAGATGCTAAAGTTTATCAGCCGTATCCAATTTTCATTACTATACTTCTGCAAACTTTTTTTACCGATCGTCGGAAAATAAACTTCTTCCCTTCCTACCTAAATCTAAATGTCTCTTACAATCATTTTCATGCACTTTCACGGTAGTTAATGATTCACATTTGACTTGATCATCACTTTCTTTGGTTGGATAACATATCTTTATCTTAACGTATGATTTAGAACCAAGGTTCCTGAAATGTGGCTACAAATATCCTATTACTAAACAATTCTATGTCCCTCAAAGTGGATAACAATCTATTCCTAATAAGAAATCAGGTACCTTAAAAATGATTTCTGTTTTCTCTGTACCAAATAGTGTACTTCTCCTCTTTTATAGAGCCCTCTCCTGGTCAGCGAACCTCTTGCAGCGCCACAACATCCAAATTTTACCCATTAACCTTGTTCACAACACATTTTAATCCATCTCGTGAATTCAAACTCCTCATGTTCCAAATATTTATAACTGATTCCCTAATTTTCAATTTGTGTCACGAATCCCCTAAAGCAGCTCCCTCTTCCTCAGGAAACCTGAATGAGGGACTAGACTAATTTTCCTCAGAATAACGAGTGTTTTACCTTAGGGAGACCCATGACTATTTTTGGTGTATGGTGCACTAAAGATATGTGAGTAAAGGGTTCATTCCTATGCCCCACCCCCAACAAGCCTGGGAACCACTCTCATTGTTTGTCAGGAAGACTAAAAATAAAATTAACTAATGACGTTTGGGATCATATTACTATTATTATATCAAATTTCAAAAGTTAGTTTCAGTTTAGCAATTTATAAGTGCTTATTATAAAGCAATATAGAGAAGTTAGAACTGAAAATTTTTTGGATGTGGACTCCATCAGATATTGTCTTAAAAGTGGATATCTTTAAAATTAAAGCACTATGGTCCTTCACAATTTTAATATTTTTAATTCAAATCTAATCAACAAAGAGTTAACAAAAATTTATTTCCTATTGGTATTGTTTCTAACTCAAAATATTTATCAAAACTGCCAAAAATAATATTCATATAAACATACCTTTGTCTTTCCATTTCTGCAAGACGCTCAACCTCATCCATTTTTCTGTCATTCAATATCTTTTTTTTAAGAGAATTTACATTTTTACTATCAGATAAATCTGTACTGCTACTAGATGAAGCAGATCTAGATCTTTTCCTGAATAAAACAAAAAAAAAAAATAGATTAAATATGGAAATAATAAAGTATTATTATAAATTCACTATTATAAAGATTGTTTTAATTTTTTTTTTTTTTCATTATTATTAATATTGTTTTTCACTGTAACAAAATTATTAATTTTGAAAAGTTAAGATTTTTAAAGTGAAAATTATATGAACATCTCGACAGATGAATATTAAAAAAAAGAAAAGAAAATTGTAATATAAAAAAAAAATAGGCCACATAAGACAATTGAACATAATGTCCAATAGGAGATCACATGTTCACATCCCGAATGAGCAACAAGCCACATGAGTTAGTGCTGATATGGACCTAACAGGGAACACAGTAAATACCCGTTCCATTCTTGTAGCTTGTAGGAACTCTTGAGGCTTTTTCAAGACTCAACTTTTGAAATTAGCATGAAGACAAAGATGTCACTCCAAGCATCTTCCTTCTTTACATCTTTATATATAATCAAACGCATCCTAAGAGTACCATACTACAGGATAACATTGGTAGTACACTAGAGGATTTATCCTTATCCTGAGAAAAATCCATTTGAACAGGTAAGAAAATAAATAATAATAATGGTAACACAATTTGCAGATGGAAGAAGCAGTGGATACAGGATTAAATTTATTTAATGCAGCAGTAATTATTCTGGAAGAAAAAAACTATCTGCATGAAATGATGTTTAAGTGGTGCTTACAAGAGAAAAAAAATGCCTTTACAGTTAAATTTTTTATATTTTTTTCTTGACACATGCTTACATTTAGTAGCTGTTTATGCATTATAATTTAAACAGATAATTGGATGGTTTAAGTATTTAGCTTAGATCGCTCATATAAACAAATATGAATTAATGAAAAAATATAATTTTCCATTTTGGGGACTTCAGGCCACTAGTCCTCCTTCCTCCCTTCTCCCTTCGGTAGATCTGCTAGTGCAGGGAAGCCCCAATATGAAAGGATGAACTGCCAGGAGGGGGTATTATCCTCATATTGTGCAGTCCAATCCCAGTCACCACCCTTTTACCGTACACACTCAGCAGGAACCAAGCACATGCTCACTCTGAAAAACTGATAACTCTTGGATTTGACGGAGGCATGCAGATCCATTCCATATTTATCATAGCAAAGGCATGGTTATTTGGGTCGAATGCTCATGTTTATTAGCAGTCTTAGGATTACATGTTGGATACCTTTTAAGTGTGACAATCTTAAGCTTGATACAAACAGGCTGTCTCAAATTGCAACACACATCAATGTCTATCTCTGATGGATTCAATCAATTATTGGATCTCATTGATGGAATAAGTGTTGAGTTTAAAAACTTACATAAACCACTAGTACTGTTTGATTTATAATCTACTCCTCCTCTGACAGCCTTTTGTTAAATGTTATTATATGTCTTTAACATAATGTGTCTATCTAATTATTTAAATTCTTCACCAGTTTATTGATATAAATTGCAATATTGGCTTGAAAGTGTAAAGAATATAAAATTAACATTTTATATTGATTACAGAATATAAAACAAGAAATACAAAAAATGCATTTTTACAATGTTTATAACTACAAAATATTTTCATAACCACGACTATTGTCACATCAAATATATTATGACTAACTAAATATATCAAATGATCATAAATGGAAGTATTTTTGACACCAGGTAACTGGCACTACCAACATTTATTATAAAATTGGACCTTCAAGATTTAGATATTCATGTTTTACATGTTTAAACTATAAAACGAACCAAGTGAAATAAAGTAATCTCCAGTTCCAAGAAATATTGTGGTAATGTACAAAAATATTAATAATATGCTAACAAAATTAATAAAATTAAAGTATTACTATAATGCTTCTTCTGTTTAATCATGCATTAAACTACAATATGTATGAATACATAAAACTTATAAATAAGTGGACACAGAAAAATATGGAGCAGTTTGAACTAACAAAAATCAATCTACTGAAGAAAAAAAATTTGTACTATTATGTTTCATCTTGTTTTTTGTTTGTATGAAATACTTACACATTATGTCAAAATAAACTTTATTAATCACAGTGGTGGACCAAAACTCATGTATTCTACAAAACAATTAATTCACTGATTAACTAGAGGATTGTATTTATAACAATATACCGGAGAGGCTAGGAAACACTAATAATTTTAATGTTATTCCGGTTGTACTTTTGCAATAGCAAAACATTATTTTTATAAATCTACTTGTGAGGTTTTATCTAGATTAAGTCATAAATATTAATGAAAATTGATAGATTTCACCAAATAGATATTTCATAAACATCAATAAAAATTACTATTACTGTTTTCTATAATAAAGGTACATAAGTACTGATTTCGGTGTTATTACAACCATTAGTCACTTAGGTTTCACAACCCATAAAACACTAATACAAAACCTCATTAAAAGTTGAGTTAGGTGGTAGAAAATGTCCAAAATAAAAACAAGTTTATACTTAAATTGACAAATAGGAGTACACACCAAGTGGATGTGTTAATGTCATGCTTTAAATAAGATATAATAACCATAACCTTGTCTGATTTGTGAACTAGTCCGAATGGAATACATAAATTTCTAATCTACCTGCTTTTAGAAGCACGATCTCTTGATTTTTCTCGATGTTTATGAGATCGGTCTCTTGATTTAGATCTCTTATGACCGTGTTTCTTCTTATGCCGCCTCCTGGGCGATTTACTTCGAGATCTGGACCTACCCATAATTTATCTAATTACACAAACAGAATTCACTAACTCAAGTCCCAAATGAGAAATAAACCGTGAACATTTAGTTTTTCAGCTTCCTCCATTCATCAGTTACTCTTCACCACCCTGTTTACGTTTCAAACAAGCTTCTTGACTGAATCAAATCTCAGCAGCTGTTGTGCGAAAAACGTATAAGTACACTACCAAGCAATCGAAAAAGGAAAATGAGAGCACAGAACAAGTGCTCACCGAAAACATTAATAAATGTTTTTATTCAAGTGTAGAGTCTAATTCGTTTTAGAAAGCCAATTATTTATTCTAAAGCTGTAAATCATTATTAATAATATTTATTTCAATTTGGAACATGTTTTGACAAATGATAGTAATTTAAAAATTAAATATTCTGAAAAGCAATGAGAAATAGTAATTTATTTTTAAAAATAAACTTTTAAATTAGTATTTTTTTTAAAAATTCGATCGATTTTTGTTTACAATTTTATTATTTTCAATCATTTTTTGTAATTAAACAATAAAAAAAATATTAACTTTCAAAATTTGAGGTTTTAAGGGGCCCTTGCACGGTCAATATCATTGAGTCAATATCAAATATATCGACTGTCTGAGGGATATTTTGTGAATATTATAATATTTATACCAAGCTTAAGAACATAATATTCAATAATATTAACCGTGTAAGGTGGGCTTTACGTTTCAAAGTCCATTAACGTTTTTCCGCCGCACAGTCTTCGCCGATCGCCAATCTAGAAGAACAAAAACAACTTGCAAAATATGAGAAATGTAATATATTAAGATGTTGGTTAAAATTGCATGTAAAAAATGTATTAAATCAATTCTTTGAAATATATTAGTAACGCTTAAATGGTCTATGAAATACCCTTCCCGGTATCCCGCCTCTACAATTTTTTTCTTTTTCATTTTGTATCATTTTTGATATTCTTTAAAATAATATAGGTCAAATTTTGCGCAGCTTTGCGCTAAGCACAGTTTTTTTTTATTTCAGAAAAATATAAAACTAAAGTTTTGGAATCAAATTTTGTTGTTCTTATCGTTATGAATTGTATAATAAAATCTATGCAGGTTTGAAAGATAATCTTGCCCTATTTACATAAAAAATAAATTAGCTCTGGAAAAATGCTCAAAAAATGTTTTATTTTTATTTTTTTAGAAGTAAGGTCATAGCTGGAGCATATTTTCTAGACCTAATAACAACTACCATTCATCTCGAGGTTCCGAAGGAACAACGAGATCTAATAATATTTTTTGGTTGCTTCAAAAAACCAATGAGTGGAAAGTAAAGGATATAAAATAGTAGGGGTGCCCAGAAGGGGTCTGCATGGCACAAGTTGCATCAATAAAATTTTGAGGGAGCACATCTTTATGGGGTTATGGATTTTTGAGTGCAAATATTTTCAGACTGTGTAAACAAGGAAAGAAATTATCTAATGAAATAAACGGGAAATTTTAATTTCAGTTAGGAAGCGATTATGAAGGACTTCAGTCAGAGAGTATCTTTTCTACAGATGTCGATACTGAAGAAGAGGAAAACAATTAAATTAATGTTTTTCTTTTATTTATGTTATTGTTAACTTTTTTCTCTGGAAATATATATATATATATATATATATATATATATATATTATATATATACCATAAATTAATGTTATATTAAGTAGTTTAAACCATAAAAGTCTTATTTTTTATTTATTTCTGATGAATTCATGATCTCCAGTAAAAAATTATGGCAATTATATATCGTAAATTATTTTTTACTATTTTTTTAAAGTTATAGGAAAAATATATATATATATATATATATATATATATATATATATATATATATATATATATATATATATATATATATATATATATTACCATGAATTAATGTTATATTAAGTAATTTTAACCATAAACGTCTGCTTTTTATTTATCTGTGACGAATAAATGATTTATAATCGAAAATTATGATCATATATAGTGTATTTCCTACAACTATATATGACCTATATATTTTAAGCCTTATATGGCTTGATTTACAGACTGGGAATTCTAACTTAAATCTGTGTATCTCTAAGCTATGAAATTTTGGATGTAGTAGGCTCGGAACACATTTCAGGGACTCTATGTTGTGACCTAACGAAACCTAGGAACTGTCTCTGATGATCCTTTTATTACTTTAACGTTTTACTAATTTATCATAGGCTAAATTGTAATTTTCTGCGTTAAACTCAATTGAAGAAATGGCCTGTGAAGCAGGATGAACTAAAAGTGGCCTGAGATAAGAAAAATTGACTATATCCATGTAATTTCGATGATGAATTTAGAGATCAAATAATGATTTAAATCAAGGTGATGTTCGTACTGTCCAGAAAATTGAGCAAACTATATTTCTGGCAATTCAGGATGTGCTACTGGTTCAGACATGCTGAGTTGAGATCCGGGAACTATTATGTGCGCAGCTTTGAATAATCTCTCATGAGAAACTTTTCTGATTCAAATTAGCCCCGAAATAAAAAATTTCAAAACAACCCTACTCTCCCCTCCCGATCCAATTTTATGAAATTGAATTTGGATCTTCCTCCCCCCATAATATAAAATCCATCTCAAAAAAAGATTCTCATATTTTAACTACACACCCATCAACGATGGGTACAAAGTTCCTCCGCTGCTAAATATGTTAACCTCATTCCTATGCTCCTCTTCTAACGATTCATTAGGAGCACCGAAATTTTGTCAACACTGCTTCAAATTCTTCCAATTGTGCTTTAATTTCTGAAGCCGTAGCCATAAAATTTCCTTTTAGCAGGGAGACCCTTAATCATATGGAAAGTGGTTTGAATTTTAAGAAACAGACTTTCTTTTTTATAATTAATAACTTTAAGTCTTCCGTACTCTTAGTCGGCGCCATCTTCAAAGTTGCTTAAAAAATAGAAATTCAAAATTAAATTTTAATTGCTGAAGGCAATACCGATTTTCTTCAAAATAAATGCAAAGTTTAGCAAAGCAGGCCAAGACAAGCAAGGATTAACGTAAGGATCAACGAAGTCACTTAATTGCAGCAAGTCACTATGCGTTCTTTCCTGAAAATTCCTGGTAACTTATCTGGAAACAGCTTGACTTCATCAAATACATAACGAAAGCTTGAGAAAGGAAATAAGACATATTTTAAAAAACGAATTAATAGGCGAAATACGATTATCACACCGAAAATAGACCATTTTTACAAAAACTCTCATAACCTACCAAGCAATTTTCTTCATTTATGTTCGGCAAAGCATCAATAATATGGGGGGAAAAAAAACAACTATATAATCATGTCCGGTGGACCAAAATGTTTAGTCAACTTTCCAATTTAATTAAATTAAAGAAAAATAACTCTGAGTTCAAAATAGGCAACATTCCTATGATTTTGGCAGTGGACTGTATTTTGATTTAAAGTGGTAGGTTATAAGAATTGTGTAAAGTAAAACTCAGCCTTTTATGCTGGAATGGATTTTCTACTAAACTGAGAGGGCCCCCAGTCTGATCTAGGTGTTAAATGGAAAGTTCTGCCTTGGAAAAGGCTGAGAGCGTCTCGACGCTTGGCCGGCTCAAATATCTTACATTTTAGATCTTATCAGATCTGTTTTCACTACTCACCGTAACGTGACGCTATGGTATAATAGCATTCACACAATGCAGATGGAGTAATTGCTGATGCCAGAATACATAGAATCATGAACTGGTGGACAGCTGCTAAGGTCAGAGAAACATGGAGGAAAACTCTTGAGGCAGCCAAGATCCAGTAATGGATTGTCGAGCTCGGGATGATGATGATGAAGGATCTTCCATAACAGATGATCATGCTCTTGTTATAATGTATTTACATACTATCCAACATTTACACAATTAGGTTTATATTGACAGATGCTGCTTTCATTTTTTTAAGTAAAAACTTAGAGCTTTTTTATGAAAGAATTAAATTTACTCTGTCTCTTTCTTCATTTCTTGAAGTGTATATTTATGTTTTATTATCATTATACATAGTTATAAGTGTTTTGTTCATAGTTTTAAGTGTTTTGCACATAGTTTTATCCGTTTTGTATATAGCTTGTTCAATTAAGGCTTTCTTTACCTTTTTTTTTTTTTTATTTTTATATATTGTTTCAATTTTTGTTTATAGAAAAGTTTGTACAACTTTGTTATTCTAAAGGGACTTTGTCCAAGAATATATTTGTTTTCTATCTATCTATATAATATTATCATAGTCGGTATTTTATTAAGCACGTATCACGTAAAGAATCTTCTTCTAACCTTTCTGCCAAGCTCGTTTGCGCGCTCGGTTTTCTTCGGTTCTCTATTACGATCCCTTATTTCTCCTTTAGTTAACTATCAAATTCTTTTATATTTTATTTTTAACATTTTTTTTTACGCCCATGATTCCTGCATATCGGGCAACATCACAAAAAATGTCCCGATATCCTGGATATATTTATCATCTCCCAGATTTCCTTCTCACAAACTATAATCAAATCACTCGATGATCTTTCTTCGGACCATAGTCCAGTACTGATTTTACTACATTCAAGCTATGCTCCTAAACCATCATCTCCTAAATTTATTACAGGGCGAATAAACTGGGACAAATTTCGTGATGATTTGGAAAACAAACTACACTTAAAAATTCCGCTAAAGACAAAAGAAGACATTCATGGTGCCATAGAAAAACTTACAACATTAATAACTGACAGTATAAATAGTAACATCTTTAACAGGATGATTAACAATTTACAAAAGACTAACTTGCGACAGCATATTCGTATCTTTTTAAAGGAAAAACGCAGAGCAAGATCGAAGTGGCATAGAACTAGATATCCAACTGACTAACAAACTAAAATCAGAAATTAGAAAATACAAACTTCAAAATTTACTAAATTTTACAGAAAAACTTACACCTACCGACAAATCACTAAAAGGCTCCTGAAATTTAAAGACTTTAATCATCCACTTCTTACTAAAGCTCAAACTTGGTCCAAATCTAACGAAGGAAAATCCCAAATTTTTGCTCATCACCTCTTCAAAACCTTTTAATCCACATCCTGATATCCTTAATTCCAGTTAGATTGAACGTATTAACGCAGAACTGGATATTCCAC